GCTCTATTCTCCAACAACAGCCTGCCAGACATTTCTAGACACTAAGCAAGACATTGACAGATGCTTCCTTTTGCTTTTTGTCCACAGCACCTTACATTTAGAGATACAGTGCCTCTGCACATGAAGGTTCCATTTAGTTACCATGGCTAACTGCCACTGATAGAACTGTCCCCCGTGAATTTGCCTCAAAACCCCCCCCCTTTTTTTTTTTTGCATTTTACCGCACTGAAGTTGCAATTCTGTCACACTGACTGGGGAGTCAGAACCATTTATTGTAATGAGACTTTTTTCTGAGTAGAGTTGCATAGGATTGAACTGTGACTTCTATAAAGTCTATGAAAGTTCGATGAAGAAGTATTCTTTGGTCTGCCCAATATCTACAGGTTCAGTACAGGTGACCTTACATTCTAGTACTCTGAACGACAATTCTCAATCTGGTTTTTTCCTGTGTTGCCAATTTCAGAAACACCTACTGTGCCCAGCCCAATTACCTCTTTCATAAACCAAAAAGCTTCTTTCTTTATACAGAGCACCCTCCCTGCTTTGTACCTTTTCCTGTTCTGCATTACTGTAAGCAGCTTTACGGTCACACGTGCAAAACTACATCGTTAAAACTGTGGTTGTAGAATGATTTTAAATGTTTTTGGAATGTGGAAAAAATAAGTAGAAAAAGAATGATAGGAAAAGTTTCTAGACGCTGGGAAATCAGAGGTGGGGAAAAGTTCTACGAATTTAAAAGAGGTGCAGGAAAGAGATGGGGGGGGGGAAATGGGTTGTGATTCCACTGGCTCAATTAAGGTATCAAGCCAAATGGCAATTAAGAAAGTTTGTGACATAATCTCTGAACTGACAAAGTAGGATATCAGCTTGCAAACTCAAATCTGCAACCAAGGTCAAGCGGGCTTACAAGCCACATTTTGTGCTGAGTGCAACTTGGTGCGTTGTCTGAATCGACAAACAGATGGGAAACAAATGCTGAACAGCAGCTCTGAACTACGGTTTACTTGTGGTTTCAAAATGTAACCAAACCTTGGGCTCTACACTGAAGTTAGAGCAAACCATGGTTTGGTGTGTGGTTTACCACTGATGCTTCCAACGACTCAAGATCCCATTTAGGATCATGCAAAGGAAATCTTTTTGCAAAAGGAGGGGGTTATGATGAGAACTGGTGGAAAAAGAGCCAGGATGGAAAGAGAGGTGCAAGCAAGGTTGCCAGCTGTTGCAAGAAAGACCCTTTTGCTCACAACAGCCCCCCCCCCCCGATTGGCTCTCCACACTAGCTCTCATCTTCTATCAGGACACCTGGTCCGTCTATGGAACAGACTGAAGAGTCCACTGACAGAAATTGGGAGAGTTTCCATAAGAGGCTGAACTGAGAAACGGAGTGTCGGGAAGATGTCAGGCATCAAAGGCAGCCCCAACGCTCAGATCACGGCCATGACCTCGGTCACTCTTACCTTCAAACCTGAAGTCTTCCTACTCAATCAGTGGGATATGGACTTGGATAGCAGGAATAAGGAGGTAATTTCTATACTTCTAGCAACAGCACGCTTGACAATTGCATCTTGTTGGAAATCCCCACACATGCCCTCAGTGTCAGACTGGCATGATAAAGTGTGGGAGCAATTTGTGATGGCCAAGATCACAGATAGTGTTCACAGGGCCCAGTCATCGCTAGCTTCTAGCTCCAAATTTGAGTGTATCTGGTTTTCAATATTCTCATATCTCTCCATGCAAGATATATTACCCAGGAATTCTAATTACCACAGGTGGTTAATGATGTAAAATTCTGTTGTGAAGGCTGAGGGGGTGAAGAAAGTGGCTAATAGTCTCACTCCAAAGTTTTTGCTAGTTAATGCTTTTCTGTACTGTATCCTTGAGTGGTACTGCTCAGTTTGTAGTGGATGTGGTTTTAGTCGTACAAATGTTGTGGACTGGTGCTTTTACAATGCTGTATCTTTGCAAATGATGAAATAAACAGTTATTTTTTAAAAAAAAAAAAAAAAGCTCTGCTCCTGCGGATCCCCTGCCTCTGGGCATACCACTGCTGCTTTTTGCAGAAAACTTCACCTAGGCTCTTGACCTGTTTTGGCAGCCAGCCCCAGCACGCTCCATCTCAGAAACTCACATTGCCCAACAATCCAGTACTCAAGAGATACACTGCCTCTGAACAAGGAAGTTCCATGCAGCCATTGCTGCAAATGGCCATAAACAGACCAACCCTCTCTGAAAAGTGTCAGGACTCAGAAACCACGTCCTCTGACACAATGATAGATCTTGGAGTCATCCTTTCAGTCTTTTGCACATGCTCAGAAGCACCTTCTGCTTGATGACAGTGCCCCATGTTTTCAGGCTGGATGTAGATCTGAAAACAGGTTCTCTGGGTCATGAGAAGACAGTCCAGGCTGGACTCAAAGGAGACACCCTTCCCACACACAAGCCACAGGGTTCCTAAATCTACTATCTGGAAGCCAGTTAATTCAAAAATCCCCTAGAAGAAAGCAATTCGAGGATAGGACAAGCAATGGAAATTGTGGCCATATCCCACAATTCATGCCAGAGTTTCTCAAAACTAAGCAAAGTCATCAGGACCCCTTCCAATTGCATCCTTTGCACGCCACATTATCGTAGCTACGAAACCAGAGCAATAGCCAATCCAAGAGACGTGTAAATTAAGCACGATTCCAATGGCACCTCGAAGACTCCAAAAAATTATTCAGGCACAAGCTTTCATAATTCAGGGCTCACTTCCTTAGATGCCAGCTCTGACTCATGAACGCTTATGCTGAAATAAATCTTGGTAGTCTTTAAGGTGCCACGGGACTCCCGTATTATTTTTACTGCAACACAGCTACCTTTCTGGAATTAAGGCAGGGATTCTACCCAGAACCTGTAGAGACAGAATGGACCAAATCCTATAACCTCCATGTTTGCAAGTACAGTTTAGAGTATGCCTGCAGTTAGTCTGGGGTAATGTACACCCTAAGCCAGGGGCGTCAAACATGCAGCCCGGGGGCCAAATCAGGCCCCTGGAGGGCTTCTATCAGACACTATTAAATAAACAAAATATTGCAAGAGTGCTGATGTTTTAAGCATGTTTTTATTTTAAGTTAAAAAAAAAACCCTTTGTGTTTGTGTCCTTTATAAAGTTTATATCTCCGCTACCTGGCATTACATTTTATGACACGCATGGCCCGACCCAAAAAGGTCTCATTTATGTCAGTTCCGGCCCTCATAGCAAATGAGTTCGACACCCCTGCCCTAAGCCTTGGAACTGATGAAGGGTAGCTGAGAAGGAAAAGACAAGAAGGGGAGGGGGCAGGATCCACAATTGTCTCTCCATCCTGCATTTTCTAAAGCCTGGCTGGAAGTTACTGGGACATGGCATGGAGCACAGAAAGTGGCCATCATGGAGGCCCAAAGACTAAAAGTAGTAACACAGGCAAAATGAGACTTCTTGCCAAATCATCAGAAAAGGAACCTTCAAGTTTCCAAACTATACAGGACTCTTCATTATACCAAACGGCAACTATTGCTACTTAGAGAGGAGGCGGGTTACACATGTAAAGTTTTCCATGCTCAATCTGTGCATACGTGTGCATCCCTAGAGTATGAAGCAGTGATGCACATGTGTAAACTGGTCATCGTGGGGGAAACTTCCATCTTTTACACATTTTCATTTCTCACATGTCTCTAAAAGAGCTTGGGGAGGGGAACATGGGGACAGTCTCATTATATCCTGAACAACAACCCTGTGAGGAAGGCTGGGCCAAGTGTGCGAAACTGGCCCAAGGCCACTCAGGATGCTCCTCAACTGAGCAACAACATGAATCCAGATCAGATAAACCCAAGTGGACTACTAGGGTTTGCCCCAAATATAGGGCTTTGCCACAAACTCCGATCCGAGGCTCACCTGCCAGTGGAGAGAAACTGAAAGAGGGGCTGGCATGTAAGAAGGGGCTCCTAGATAAGATGGGGCTGCTTCAGAGGAGGAGGAAGCAGAGATCTTAGTTTGGTGAGCAGAATGCATCCCAGAAGGAGAAAGGGACATGCAAACTTCTACCAAGCAGAAGCCAAATCACTGAAGGGTAGTTTGAGGAACAACCCTTGGGGGCAGTTCTGTCCTTTGGCAGCTCCCTCCCCCTTCAGCATCCCTTCCAAAAAGTGGGAGGGGACTACATGATAAAGGCGTGACTGCACACTCTTTGCATCCTCCACCTGCCACCACATGCTTTGCTATCCACAAATGCTACTTCACCCAAAGAGCATTGCAATCTGTTTTGTTTTTTTTTTGTATTTCCCCAACGGTGCGTAAGACCTACATAAAACTACCTATTCCTCTAGTTCGTCAAGGCTTCCAGGGTCGGATGCTCAAAATAGGCAAACCAGACTTTAAACACATCTTGGCAAGCATCCCTTGTAGAAAAGGCCCGGTTTACACCTACACACACACAAACACACACACCAGGAAAAGAAACTTTTCCTTTTCCTTAACAAGAGACTCATGCACTTCGACAACCGTTAAATTTCTGCGAAATTCCTGGATGTAAAACCGCCAATCACTCCAAAAGAAAAATCCAGATTATCAATCCAACCCTCGTTGTATTTACTCGGAAGTAAATCTCATGGATTTCACTGGGGCTTCTAAATTTAGCCCACCACTTCCGTCCAAGCCTAAAAAGCCGAGGGAAGAAATCTGGATTTCTCCTTTGGAGTAGAGAAAGTACGTCCACAACCGGGGAACCACAGCCCCCTCCCACTTGCGCATGTCGAAGGGTCTCTGGGGGAAGGGCCACGAGTCATGGACATAAGAACATAAGGAAAGCCTATGTTGGATCAGGCCCATCCCGTTCAACACTCTGTCACATGGTGGCCAAAAAACCGAGGTGCCATCAGGAGGTCCACCAGTGGGGCCAGGACACTAGAAGCCCTCCCACTGCTGCCCCACACACACACACACCGGACGCCGCTGGAGAGGGGCAAAGGAGGAAAATACTCACATGAAGGCGTGGTAGATGAACGCCCAGCCGCGAGGTCTTTCCAGCACGTTGTAGAGGCAGTTCTGGAGGCGCCGGTAGCGCTTGTGCGAAGCTGACCGGGCCCCGGAGCCCCCCGGGGGCATCGGCAAGGGCGTCCCGAGCAGCCCCAGGCGCCTGGGACTGCCCCCGGCGGCGGGAGTGTCGCTCTTCTCCGTCTCCACGGCGGTGAGCGCCACGAACTCCATCCCCTGCTGCTGGGTCTCCCCGCCGCCGAGGATCGTCGACGGATACAGCAGCGAACAGTCCCCGCCGGGCGCCCCAGCCATGGCCGAGAAGAGTTGGCGGTGCGGACTGGGTGGAAGGAAGCGCGCTCACGGCATGGAGCGGGACCAGCCGCGGAGGCGATCAGCCCGGCATGGTCCGTGGGGGGGAGAACAGGCGGGGCAGCCCCACGATGGTCGAGGTGGGCTCCCTCCAGGTCAGGCGTCTACCAGGTTGGAGCTCGCTTCTCGCCCGGAGCAATCCCGGTCCGGGATGCGCCCACCGCGGAGGACCCCGTCCGGGAGAGATGGGCCCCTGCCAGCGCTTCTTCAGCCCATCCGGGGAGAGAAGGGACACCGGGAGCGTGGGAGGCTGTTGTCCTCGGCGGCTTCGCTGCTGCGCCTTCCCCGCCTGACGCCCAAGTTTAAAAGAGTTGCGGGTTTCCGCAGCGCTCCGCTTTGGAGAGCCGGACGGCAGCAAAGCCCGGCTGGGCTGCAAACAGAAGCGGCAGCTGCTGCGGCCGTTGCCACTGTGGCCTCGGGCTCTTCTTTCTCCTCCTTTCCTTCTCCATCCTGCTCGATCTCCCACCTGCCTCTTGCTTCCCCGACTCACATGGCACGCGCGCTCCCCCCGCCGCCGCCGCCGCCGCCGCCTCTCTCCGCCCCTCCCGGCCTGCCTTTGCAAGAGGCGCTGCAAGCCTCTCAGGACGCCCAAGCGCCACGCCCAGCCGAGAGTTTTGCAAACTGCTGTACCGCCAGTCCTGAGTAAAGCCGCAAAGCTTGCAACGGCCCGCTAGGCTGCCTGCAGGATGGTTGCCCCTCTCTCCCCCCACCTGTGCAGGAAGCCTACAGAGAGAAGCTGCCGGAGCGTTTTAAACCGGGGTTTCCCCCACTGAGCAGAAGTCCTGCGGAAACCTCTGACCTCAACGTTGCCAAAGGAACCAGCTCAGGCCAGGCTGTAGGTTTGGAGGTGGGCTTTTAAAATTCTTATTTCACAGTCCCTTTGGTAACGTTGAGGTGTGTGTGTGTACACACACACAAGTCGTTCTGCACAAGTGGCTCATTGATTGACCATTTAGCGGCCTTTTGCAAAGTTTGACCCCAAAGGCCAAGAGGCAGCTGGTGCTGCAATCATTTTACTGGGAGGGCTGACCCGAAAAAATTGCCTTCGATTCCAGGGCAGGGTGTTACTGCTATAGATAACTTAAAAAAAAAAAAAACCCACCTCATCCTTCTTTCATGCCCTCTGCAGGTTGACTGGGAAGTAAGTAGGGTTGCCACTGCTAGGGTGGGCTGGGAAACACCTGGAGATTTGGGGAGTGGAACCTGGGGAGGGTGGGTTTTTGGGAGGAGGGACCTCAGCATGGCATAATGCCATAGAGTCCACCGGCGAAAGTAGCTGTCCATTCTTGATCATCTGTAGATCACTTGTAATAGTGGGAGATCTCTACATATTACCTGGATGTTGGCAACCCTAGAAGTAAAGTAGATTGAATTCAATGGGACTTACTAGTAAGTGAGTTTAGTTTTGCATATCACTTTACCAGGAGCATTCAATCTGTGGCACAAAACATTTTAAAAAATCATTTTTATAGCAACGGGTGCACAAAAAGGCTAACTATATATATATTTTAAAAAACAATATAAATAAATGGCCCCTCCTTTTTTAGAAAAATGAAAAAAGTACCTCCTAAGTAGGCAATTAAAATTGGGGAGCGGGATATAAAATGCAGGGAAGAGCACAGTGCTTGAAAATATGCATAAGATCCCAAATTCAGCCCAAGATTTCCTGGATAAAAGACCTCAAGTAACCAGGCTAGGGGAAAGGTGGGAAATCCTCTGCCCTCTAAAGGTCTAGAAACTGCCACCATTTAGAGTAAATGCTGGCTAAGAAGGACCAAGGGATGTGGAATGGGATAGTATAACCCAATCTCATCAGATCTGGGAAGTTAAGCAGGGTATGTACTTGGATGGGAGCCCTTCAAGGAAGACAGTGAGAAACCACCTTTGCTTATTTGCCTTGATAGCCCTTTGCTGGGGTTGCCGTAAGTCTACTGTGACTTGACAGCACTTTAAACGCAAGAGGGACGAAAGGTCTGACTCATAGAAGGCAACTTCTGATAGGTCCATAGCTCTAGACTGGCTGTTGTCTGCTCTTGGGCACCACCAGTGCAGCTGTCCAAAAGGAAGTACTGCAGTGGTTGCCTCAGTGATTTGTTAGCCAACATCAGAGGATAATTAGGAGTCTTTTATGTCAAGGGATGGAACCTAGCACCATCCTGTGGAGTGTACTATGGTGCATCGGCTGAGCCCCTGTTTGGCACACAGAAGGTCCCTCATGTAACACTTGGATCTCCAGGAGTGCAAGTTGCTTGCTTGAGATTTTGGAGTGCTGCAGGCAGCTGGACAATACCAGGCAAGATGAATAAAGTGGTAGTGGGGAGGAGCTGTGGCTCAGTGGAAGAGACTTTGCTTGGCAGGCAGATGGTCTCAGATTCAATCCTGGCATGTTTCAAGTCCTGGAATGCAATCAATCTCATGCACACTCCTGTTGCAGCAAGACTTGTTTATTAGGAGACAGGAAGGATCCGAGCATAGACAACTTTCGTGTCAGAACTGATTCCCCTATGTCAGTCCCAACAATATACTGAGAATCCCCCAAATGCCCCTTAGCCAATCAATGCACCCACTCAGCTCACCGAACATTTGCTCCGCCCATACCACTGGCCCCTAACACCTGCATACTGATGGTTACACTATCTAGAAGCTGCTTAGACTACATGGTCACGCAAAATGATGAGATCATATTCTTCCCAATGCGCACCCAGGCGGCTTCTGCATGAGAACTGTTACGCGGCGGCACTAACCAAGCCAGGCCAACATTCAACACACACACACCCCCGGTCAGTACAGATGATAAAAAAAGCCAGGCAAGTAATATGGAAAATACATATGACTGTAAGTAAAAGAAAACACTTGGCAAGCAAGTCCCGACTGTGACATACTGCCCCTCCCAAGGCCACCTCTCAGCCCACAGGCTTGTGAGGATGTCTGCGGTGGAAACCACAAATTAATTGGCTGGCCTGCACATGGTCGTCTCAAACCCACTCATTATGACTTGGATCGAAATCACGCCATTTGATTAAATAGTACAGGCAACCCCTTTTTATCTTAGAGTCCAAAATGTCCTCCACTACTTGGTGGAGTTTCCCATCCCCTGTCAGAGGAGGTGGGGCCAGAGGACGAGGTCTCCATGCTGATGGTCCAGGATCCTTCTTCAGCAAAATGGAAAACAGGATGGATCTGACATAAATTCTTAGGTAAATCCAATTCAACTGCCACTTCATTAATGACACGTAACACTTTAAAAGGTCCCACATATTTACACCCTAGTTTTTTCCCAGGTTGCAGGCCCTTCAGATTCTTCGTGGACACATATAAAGAATCACCTGGTTGTAAATCCCATTCTAGTGACCGGCCTTTGTCAGTCTGGGCTTTGTAATCCTCCTTTGCTTTAATCAGAGCCTTTTGAGTTAAGGTTAAGGGGGTCCCCTGGCCCAGCAGGTTGAGGTGCAATTGTAGGAAGGGCCCCCCCCTCATAACTGTGTACCACCTTGAACAGGGTGGCCCCCGTGGAGCTGTGCACTGAGTTATTATAACTATATATAATAACTATATTCCTCATACGGTAACAAGCCGAGCCAATTATCATCTCGATAATTAATAAAGCATCTTAGGAACTGCTCCAGCACTTGATTGGTGTGCTCAGATTGACCGTCCATCTCGGGGAGGTAAGCACTACTGAGGCCCTGTTCAATGCCCAATATATTCAAAAGCTTTTTTCCAAAGGCTACCACAAATTGGAGTCCCCTATCAGAGATGATCTTTGTAGGGACCGAGTGGAGTCTAATAATATGTTGCATGAACAGTTGAGGCAGTTTCTTGGCAGTGGGCACTCGTTTACATGGGATGAAATGGGCTTTTGAGAACAAATCCACCACCACCCACACAACAGTTCTCCCTTTACTGGGTGGCAGATCAGTTATAAAATCCATAGAAATCACTGAGCATGGTCTGTCAGGGTTTTCAATAGTCCTGGGGGTTCCTCCCCCCCTTTCTTCCCCATCAAATACACTTGACAGGAGAATACGTAGAGGGAAATGTCCCCATGCATGTGAAGCCACCAGAATTTTCTCTGAACTAAATGCAAAGTTTTAAAATATCTATAATGTCCTGAGAGCTTGTTATCATGACAGAGTCTCAAAATCCCCCCATACAGGGAGTGGGGCAAGAATAGCCTGTGCTGCCGGTACCAACACCCATCTCCAGCCTGAGTCAGGGAGGTCTCCTTTTCTATCTCCTTCATAGAGTCATAGAATCATAGAGTTGGAAGGGGCCATACAGACCATCTAGTCCAGGGATGGCCAAACTGTGGCTCGGGAACCACATGCAGCTATTTCACACATATTGTGTCGCTCCTGGCATGGCGGCTGGAGAAGTGAAGGGGGGGGCATGCCTTCCCAGTCAGTCTTCCCTTCCCCAGCGAGTGTTCCCCTCCCTGAGTAGGCTTGAGGTGGGGGGGATTCAAAGAAAGAAAGAAAGCAACTTAAATGTGTTCTCAAACTGGCCAGCTTGGAGAAGGTATTTGTCTCTTTAAATCCCTTTGCCAAGCCAGCCAGCATGTGGGGGGAAGGGCTTGGAGGACACATTTAAAGTTGGCAGTCTTATTTAATGTTAATAAAAAGCAAATTTGCATATTTTTCAATAAAAACATATATTTGTTCATATCGTGCAGCTCTCAAACATCTGACATTTATTCTATGTGGCTCTTATGTTAAGCAAGTTTTGCCACCACTGATCTAGTCTAGCCCCCTGCCCAATACAGGAGCAGCCTAACGCATCTCTGAAAAATATTCGTCCAGCCTCTTCTTGAAAGCTGTCAGTGAAGGGGAGCTAGCCACCTCCCTAGGCAGCTGAATCCACCTTTGAAC